GGGCTTAGATGGCAAGGAGGGAGTATTAAGGGAGGACTTCTCACCCATAGAGAGATAGCTAGCCAGCGTCTCTTCTACAGGGTGCATCCTCTCATAGCTGTTTTCACGCATCGTCTCGATGTTGGCATAACTCGTATGCTGGAACCGATAGATGCGTGAGGAAAATGGCATCTTCCATTCCTTCTCGATCTCAGTATGCAAATCAGGAAGAAATGGAAGGCTCACCTGAGCTGGAGGGTTATGGCCAGAAAGAAAAAGCTCATCGAGGCGACCTCGCGACGTCACTTTCTTGGCCCGCTTCCACGGCAATCCAGCCTCGCCGTGGCGCGATCCATAACTTCCAACAGCTCATCATACGCAGGGCAGGAGGATTGGGAAGGCTCAGCCTCAGCCTCTTCGCCTCAGACATCTCCTGCTCCTCCTGGGCTAAGCCCAGCAGAGCTCTGGCCCCCGGATCAGACGATGTTAGCGAAATAACATCATCCTCCAGTGGCTCTCTCTCGTCCACAGCCGACGAGCGCGAGAGGGAAAGCCCCTCTTTAAACTCATCAGCCAGGTCCACCTGTGATCCCCACGAGCTCATTCTCCTCCGTGCCTCAGCAGCGGTGGTTCCTGAACCGCGGGAAGCATTTGGCTGCCCCTCTTTTCTCTAAAAAAGAGACAAACGAGAGCGGAGCTTTTTCATCGAAAAACGCTCACAATGCACGCAAATTGCTCCCTCAAGGACATCGCGTGCGTGCTCCACGCCCAAACAAAAAACGCAGAGATCGTGTGTCATCAGGTGTCAAATAGCGACGACACGGATGCACACATCCTGTAAACGTTCTGCTAGTGCTCGCCATAATAATAGGATAGAGATCGCTCTTACCATGTTCAAATGCACGCTTCAAACAAAACAGTCAGTGAAGATGAAGAAGAGAATGACATGTTCTACCGGCGCCTATTTATACTAATAGTTGCACCGCTAGTGACGTCATGGGCTGTCGCCGGCCAACGTGTTGTTGGTGTTTTTTCAATGTATGCTTCAGACACGGGTCACGATGAGGCATTCCCCATAGCGACCCCTAGAGGATGCAGTTCGAAGTTCCCTTGAAAGGGAACAACAAATATATGCAGCAATAAATGCATAATAAATTACTTTTTTAATGCAGGGGTTTTCAGACTTTTTGTTAACAAGGACCTTAAAAATAATTAATTTCACACACAAAGACCCATTTATGCTGTGTATAAAAATATTACCGCTGAAATTTTGAAGACAGTACGTTAAAACATACTGCTTTCTATTTCCAACCAGTCTTTAGAAAGTACGGAGCCTCGCACATGACATGCAGAAAAAAAAGTTAATTTTGCGTACAATTGACTAATTTGTTCCCTCGGTTTACTAAATTGTGCACACAATTTACTAATTAATTCCCTTGTTTTAAGTAAATTTTGCGCTCAAGATAATAATTTCTTCCCTTGTTTTAAGTAAATCGTGTACACAAAATAATAATTTGTTCTACTTCCTGTCCGCATTCTCATAAACAGATGTAGATACTGTACATCTCACTTAAAATAATTCCATGCAATGCTGCATGGCTTTCGAGAATGTCTCTATAACCCATTCCCAACTCAAAATAAATCTTAATGAAAGTATCTGTCCATAACATAACATGTTGATGAGAATGCGGATAGGAAGTAGAACAAATTATTTTTTTACTGCTTTCTATTTCCAACCAGTCTTTAGAAAGTACGGAGCCTCGCACATGACATGCAGAAAAAAAGTAAATTTTGCGTACAATTGACTAATTTGTTCCCTCGGTTTACTAAATTGTGCACACAATTTACTAATTAATTCCCTTGTTTTAAGTCAATTTTGCGCTCAAGATAATAATTTCTTCCCTTGTTTTAAGTAAATCGTGTACACAAAATAATAATTTGTTCTACTTCCTGTCCGCATTCTCATAAACAGATGTAGATACTGTACCTCTCACTTAAAATAATTCCATGCAATGCTGCATGGTTTTCGAGAATGTCTCTATAACCCATTCCCAACTCAAAATAAATCTTAATGAAAGTATCTGTCCATAACATAACATGTTGATGAGAATGCGGATAGGAAGTAGAACAAATTATTTTTAATTTTTTATATTTTTATATTATTTTACTTAAAATTATTTTACTTAAAATGAGGGAACAAATTATTATATTTAGCGCATGATTTACTTAAAATGAAGGAACAAATTAGTAAATCGTGCACAAAAATAAATTTCCCCCCCCCTGCATGTCATGTGTTGGGCTCTGTAAGAAAGTACAAAATGAGAAAAAACTTAATTTAATTCAATGTATATATTATTTGAAAATTTGTGTTATTATATTATATAGAGATAATATTATTTCGTTTTAAAGATGTTTTGATGTCATCTTAATATGTTAACTTTGACAGTCCCATAAATTTTACGTTGTTAAGAAAAACGTATCTTTGGATGCTTTTGACCCTTTACGTCATCATGGGGTGAAACTGAGGTGTAAAGAACTCAATGCATATTAGCAACATACTAAATCAACTAGTTACCACACTGATTTTTAACCATTTTGACCATTTTTTGTGTAACCCATGTTTAATACTTTTAACAGGTGAGTGACGGCAGTCTGACTGTGCAGGCCATCACACGGGAGGACCGGGGGGCCTACAGCTGCCGTGCCCAAAGTGACCAGGGGGAGGTGCTACACACCACCCGCCTTCTGGTGCAAGGTGAGCATCCACAGATTGCGATGTCTGTGTAGCAACACATATACATTTATTTTCCTTCTCCAGCAAAGAGATACATACACAACAAACAGGCTCATCTATACACAAAAAAAGCCTTTAAGTTTTGATAGTTGGGAGAAGCCAGCACATGTCCTTCACTATTAATATTTGTCCTTTTACTTGCTACTGTGGTCATGGCATCCCGTCAATACTAGGTGCAAAGATGCAAAGCCCTTGGTGATCCCTGGTTAATTAGTCTCTTTCAGTGAAACGGTGTATGGACCCATCAGTGTTGTCAAAGTCTGGCCTTTACGTCTCGTCACTCTAAGCACATCTGTCGCAGTCAATACGCTCAGTCCGCTCCATCTGCATAGATCACTTCCTGTCACTCAGCTCCTAATGGAGCCTTCCAGTAGAAGCTGTTTACAGCCCTGCTCGGAGCGATGGAGGTGATATACTGCAGGTTTACAGTTACCGCTCATGCCTTGTACACACTCCCTCACCTTCAGAGTGGCTTGTTTATTTATTCACCTGTAGTTCACATGAGGGTCTTATATATCTTTCTCATAACTGCTCATTTACACCCTTATGAAAAGATCAGCTAGCATTAATTTCTACACTGGTCAGGCTAATTTGTGTTATCTCTCCAGCTGTGCTCAATATACCAAAGTAGGCAATCGAAAGTGAGAAAATGTATTATGAATTCAAACATATCTGACAGTTCTGATCATAATATCTGAGCTATACTATTAGCGTTCAATTAATAATTCTATGTTTTTAATTTTAATCAGAAATTTTCTTTCAGTTTTCGTTCTGTGGACCAGCATCTATTTTCGCCACATAAGGGGTTAAATCATATTTGTGACATGAAAATTATTAATTATGACAAAGTAAAAATTGAAGTAAAAGATACTGTCATATTATTATGAGATAAAGTAGAAATTTTGAAATTATGAGATACTCATTATGACATAAAAAGACAAAATGTCAAAAGTATACTATGAATAATAATTATGACTTTTTAATCTCAATTTTGACTTTTTATCCCATGACATAAAAAGTCATAATTATGACGTTGTAGTTGGGACATAAAAAGTCAAAAGTATGAGATATTAAGCCATTTTTTCTTGTCAGTGTCAGAAATGGGCTTCCATACCTTTTGGCCTGGCTGTTGAAAGTTAAAATATAATGATTTAAAGGGAAAAAAATTCCGCCATCGACAAGCTGGTCCATTTAAGCCATGGATCAAATGTCACCTGGAAAAAGATCTGCCTGTCTTGTCTCCTTCATGAGGGATATGAGGAGATCTGTTTGATAAGTGTGTGAGTTTCATGCACAAGCAAACAGAATAATCGTTGTTCGCTCTGATTCAGCACCTGGTACTGGTACCACAGTCTCTCCCCATATGGCCTCCGCATTAGTACAGAATGATGAAGTGGTTCAGTTTATTATCCATGGGCCATGTACAGTATGACAGCAAACATGAGCAAGCTGCCTGTCACTGGCTTTGTGGCTTTCACTGCAATCAGATTTATGGCAGTGGAGCATGACTGTGAATACAGAGCAGCACGCTAGCACACAACCTGCACTGGGAAACAGAATTTAGAGGATGCTTGTGATCACAGAGCACCAGAAAACATACAGGATGCGTGGAGCTTCTTGTCCATACTCCCTACATTACCTGCTAAGTTCTGGCTGATATATAGTGAATATTAACAATATATTTGTGATGATTTCCTGGCGATCTAAAATTAATGTCTTGAATATCACAATAATTTTAATGCAGAGCTTTAAAAACTATTTAATATTTTTCCCCAAATTAGTGAAGGCTATATCATTTCATGCTTGAAGACCAATTTATGCTGTGTGTACAATAATACGATTGAAATTATGAAGATATCTTTTTTCTGCCTATCATTAAAGTAATGTTTTTTTAATGATTTTTATTAGTATTTAAAATAAGGCTGTCAATAGAATGATAAGTGTGATTTATCTAATGATTTAATAAATATCTTGGTAGCTTTGATAACCCTAAAAAAACACCCTAAAACACATCGATGACCACTGTTTTAAGCCATAAATACTGAAACAAAACTGAATCCAAACTGAATATCTGATCATCTGGCATATTGGGATATATATTGTAGCTCTATCGTCTGCCCTACCTGAAGGTTGGAGTGATTTAGAAGAGGATCGTCTGCTCTCATCTGAGTACCAACGAGTCAGATGGAGACACATATGAACAGTGCTGAGCCAAAATTGCCTTGGCCATAGGCTGTTTTGTTTAGTAAACTAGCAATATTGTTTTTACAAAAAGCAATATTCTCATGAAGCCTCTGGAGAGGCACTCTAGTTAAAACCTGCTTCAATAACATGAGCGCAAGCAACGCCAGGGATATTTTTAGACACTTTCAAGTGATGCCTTTTGCGATTTCATTTTAATAAGCAAAGCTGCGCTACTGTCAGTAATCCTCTTAGATGTCATTTACTGCACATTAAGGAAACATCCAGGAAGCTCTCAGCATAGTCCACACATTAAGATTAGAAGATATTTCACAGCTAGTCATGGGTTGTTTGTGCTAAGAGCAGCATTCATGCTGTATCTTTCTGCAGAGCTCCCACAAATCTCACAGCGGTCTGAGTGTCACGACAGTATTCCTGCCTACCCACACGTCTAATTAAAAGTCTATTGGCAATTTAAGTGACAGCCTCATGTGGGAAGGATAATATTCTCTGTGGGAAGGCCTGACAGTAGTATCCTTGCTGTCTTTATTAGACAGGTTTATATACATGGAGGAGAATTAGGATAATTGCAAGGAATACCACATCTGTGGCATGCAGTTGATTACCACAGACAATAATTCCTTTCCCTCGTGTACATAAACAAAAATCAAATGTATTTGCAGTAAATACACTAAAAAACAAAAAGCTTGTTAACATTGAGCTTACACTCATTTAGACAACCTGTTTCTTCAGTTGCTCATAAATGTCATATGAATATAGAATATAATACTAAAGAGGTTTGGGTTGTGTTCCACAGTTTGGTTTATGTATGTTAATTTGGTCTAATTAAGTTCTGTTCTTTCAGTTCTTGTTTTCTCTTCCTTTTTGTTTTCTGGTGCTGTCACTGGTTTATTGTTTTGTTTAATTAGTCTTATGTTGTAATTGGTTCTTGATAATTATTGTTATCTTGCTCAGAACCAGAGAGCAAATGGAAGGGGAAGCAGGAACAAAAAAACAAAAAAACAAAAAAAAAAACAGGACACTTAAGACAAAAAAAGTGATAAACCAAAACATGAAACAAGTAAGAAATCCCACACACCTATAACAACTAGCTTCACATTTATGATTTTAAATGCTCAGTCCTGTGTTCTTAATAAAAATCTATTTTAGATGTAGAGTATTTATAAGCATCCAAACTGTCTGTTCATCTTGCCAGCCAAAGCTTAAGTTAAGAAGATGAAATTGAGCTGAATGCTAGTTCAGTTTAAATAGTTTAAATATTTTGGCATATTGGGATATATATTGTAGCTCTATCGTCTGCCCTACCTGAAGGTTGGAGTGATTTAGAAGAGGATCGTCTGCTCTCATCTGAGTACCAACGAGTCAGATGGAGACACATATGAACAGTGCCGAGCCAAAATTGCCTTGGCCATAGGCTGTTTTGTTTAGTAAACTAGCAATATTGTTTTTACAAAAAGCAATATTCTCATGAAGCCTCTGGAGAGGCACTCTAGTTAAAACCTGCTTCAATAACATGAGCGCAAGCAACGCCAGGGATATTTTTAGACACTTTCAAGTGATGCCTTTTGCGATTTCATTTTAATAAGCAAAGCTGCGCTACTGTCAGTAATCCTCTTAGATGTCATTTACTGCACATTAAGGAAACATCCAGGAAGCTCTCAGCATAGTCCACACATTAAGATTAGAAGATATTTCACAGCTAGTCATGGGTTGTTTGTGCTAAGAGCAGCATTCATGCTGTATCTTTCTGCAGAGCTCCCACAAATCTCACAGCGGTCTGAGTGTCACGACAGTATTCCTGCCTACCCACACGTCTAATTAAAAGTCTATTGGCAATTTAAGTGACAGCCTCATGTGGGAAGGATAATATTCTCTGTGGGAAGGCCTGACAGTAGTATCCTTGCTGTCTTTATTAGACAGGTTTATATACATGGAGGAGAATTAGGATAATTGCAAGGAATACCACATCTGTGGCATGCAGTTGATTACCACAGACAATAATTCCTTTCCCTCGTGTACATAAACAAAAATCAAATGTATTTGCAGTAAATACACTAAAAAACAAAAAGCTTGTTAACATTGAGCTTACACTCATTTAGACAACCTGTTTCTTCAGTTGCTCATAAATGTCATATGAATATAGAATATAATACTAAAGAGGTTTGGGTTGTGTTCCACAGTTTGGTTTATGTATGTTAATTTGGTCTAATTAAGTTCTGTTCTTTCAGTTCTTGTTTTCTCTTCCTTTTTGTTTTCTGGTGCTGTCACTGGTTTATTGTTTTGTTTAATTAGTCTTATGTTGTAATTGGTTCTTGATAATTATTGTTATCTTGCTCAGAACCAGAGAGCAAATGGAAGGGGAAGCAGGAACAAAAAAACAAAAAAACAAAAAAAAAAACAGGACACTTAAGACAAAAAAAGTGATAAACCAAAACATGAAACAAGTAAGAAATCCCACACACCTATAACAACTAGCTTCACATTTATGATTTTAAATGCTCAGTCCTGTGTTCTTAATAAAAATCTATTTTAGATGTAGAGTATTTATAAGCATCCAAACTGTCTGTTCATCTTGCCAGCCAAAGCTTAAGTTAAGAAGATGAAATTGAGCTGAATGCTAGTTCAGTTTAAATATTTAATAATATATGAAAGCCTGTTTCCACCTTAGAGAAAAAATATATATTTATATCTCACAAATGTGTCTTTATTTTTCAGACCTGTAACTTTATATATCATAATTATACACACACACACACACACACACACACAAACAAACATATAGAATTATAAG